AGTTGTGCCTCTCTTATGATTGCAAAGTCTCCATCCTTGGAGACACTCAGAAGCTCTCTGGAGACACCCCTGGGCAACCAGCTGTTGGAGGTTAACCTGCTTGAGCGGGAGGTTGGATCAGATGATCTCAGGAGGTCCCTTCCAATCTCAACCATTCTGTGATTCTGTAATTCTGTGGTTCTATGATCTTGGCAGAAAACTTGGTAGAATTGGGTTAATGGTTGGTAGAGTTAGGTTATGGTTGGACTTGATGATCTTAAAGATCTTTTCCAACCAGAATGGTTCTGTGATTCAGAATTCAGAAGACATTAGTAAAAGTCATTATCTGTCTCAGCCGGTTTCTGACAGATAAAGCAAACACAAATTTTAAAAGACCCTTCTCATGTAGATATGGAGACATGTGTAATGAATGCCTGTATGATGCTGCTTAAATCTCCATATTTGGTACAATGTTTTTCTTTCTATTCCACTCACAACTCCAAAGATCATAACTCCAGCTGGCTACAATAGACCCTCTTGGTGAAGGTCTAAATAGAAGGACTTGTCAGGACATAACACCAAACAGGGTTGATTTCTCCAGCCCATGACTGGGGATGAAGCATATTAGTGACTGCAGGGAAGAAACATCTTTTACTGACTCATTCTGTATTATGTTACTTCTATACATGAATAAGTAATTGGAGTCTAAAGGGTAGGGTTTTTTTATGCGTGGTAATTACACTTAATATTGCACATAGTTTGTATGAGACTGCTTAGCATAACAATTGTCTACATCTTTCTCCAAGGAGGACTGGACAGAGTGCTGTCTGCAGTGTTTCTATGCATCAGTTCTTCAACAAAACCTTGCTCACCTTTAGTGTCTCTTGCCAATCCACATGCACTAAAAAACCCCCAGATTTAGATCAGATAGAAAAGAAACTCAAAAAATCTATCCATTTAATCTCAGCTATATTGAAGAGACTCATCAGTAGAGACAAAGAAAGCAATATAGACACATAGTCTATCATGGGGCTTTCCATCTTTGTGAGAAAAATACTCATCCTCTGGGTAACTGCATTTAAAAGAAAAACAGAGGGCTGGAAAGAAAAATATTCCAAACGGAAAAGATTCATGCTATGTGGAGTTTTGCTTGGCTTATTGTCACTGTACTTAAATGGAGAATGAGAGTGCAAATGATCAAAACCTTCAGACACCGAGTTAATAGCCACTTCTGTCCAGAGACATGCAGGAATCAATATATACTGCAGTAACCTTCGTCAAAATGCTGTCTGCCAGTGGAGTATTGCAACCAGTGCTTAAATTAAGGAAGTGGAGCACAAACCTTTCTCCTTATCTGACTGAAAAGTATCACTTGAAATGCAATTATGGCATAAAAATTCCTAATGCCAATAAATAATTAACTCTCCTTCTAAGGAATAGTCTTAGGAGAGCATGACCAAGTATCTCAAAATGTGTACTGTTGTGCTCTGCCTTTATTAAATGACCTCAGGCAAGCTGTCAATGTACGTGAGCTCTGTGAAGATGTTGCCTAAGACAGGATTTCATTGTTTCAGTGTAGGAACAATGGACAGCATATAAAAGAATATTAATGCAGTGGAAATATCCATGTTGCATATTTCCCTCTTAAGAACGATTACTTTTGCAACCCTCAACGGTGTTGGCAACTGTAAATCCACCATAGGCTTAAAATTCCTGATGAGTAGGCAAAAACCCCCACCATTTTCTGAGTGATGAGTCTACTGCAGTCAGCCTTGTAAAAGAAACCTTTTAGTGTCAGTGATAATGAAAATACCTGCTACCTATGACAGAATAAAATGGTGTCATGACCTGGCAATTTCTATTCAGTGCTGTCACATCCATGCGCTGCACAGATTGGGATTGTCATCATGTAAATGTAATAGGATTCTTTGTCCTGCATTGATACTCAGTTGGGAACCGTAATTCTAAGTTTCCGATAAGTTGTGAATAGCAGCAGGGGGCCATGAATAGCTTGGAAACCTATATTTTTTCCTTTTATTTTTTTTTTTTTAAATGCAAATTACACTAGTAAGTCAAAAAAATCACTTCTGTTAAAAATACATTCAGAATTAACAAATGCAAAAAAAAGAAAAGAAAAAAAAGACACATTTGGATTGTATCTCTTGCCTTCTGAATATTTAAGTTTATAACAAAAGCCCAGCCTAGAAAAATAACATTCTTTACTGGATTTTGAGGAGGATACAGCTGTACAAGTCAAAAATGTCACCCAGATATTCTCACATTACTGTGCTCTAAACTGCTTCCAGAAGAGATCTGTCCACTAATAATTTAGTTTAATAGTCAACAGTCCTAATTTCTTTTTAATGGTGGTGCTCTAACTGCAATTTAAGCAGGGTTATGAATACCAACTTCCTATAGGTAGGTACGTATATATATATATATATGTATACTGTGTGTATGTGAGTGTGTGTATGTCTACTCTATATGTAATATATGAATATGCATGTATATTGTAATCATTACTCATGTGCTTCCTATTTCCTAAGCACTTTACAAACATTAACAATCCAGACCTCACAAAAAGCCTGTGAGGCACGTATGATTACCATTTTATAGGTGGGAAGATTAAGAGACAGAGAAATTACGGTCAATATATTCTAAATTAAAATTAGGCCTTAAAACTACATGTAGACACTTCATTAAATTGTCTAACTTCTAAAATTGCTAAGTACCAGTAGCTATCATTCTGTGGGAGACCACTGAAGGATATGGAATATTATCTTCTGAAAACTGGGTTACTGCTTAGATGCCTAAACTGGTTTCTTTTCACATTAAAAGACTATTTTATAGAAATATGATTTTGATTAACTGTATTACAGGGAAAGCTAAAATACTCTGTTAACAACATTTCCATTCCAGTTGAACTCTACATTGTGTTTAATATTGTACAGCTGCTATATTTGACACTACATCCAAGTAGAAACATTTGACATTTTTCAAGTTATGGGAAATTTCAACCTGGCACTTGGAAGTTGCATGATTTTCCAGGGAGTGAAAAGCAGCTCTAACCAGAATAAACACAGAATTTCAGGAACTCAAGTCTGAAAATTTTAATTTGAGATCCAAATCAGCAATGTATGACTCTATGGGATAAGGCCTAGGGGACATGCCCAATTAATGCAGGAAATCCCCTGCCTAGCATGATCTGAGGCTGGAGCCCTTGGTCTTGAGTATCAGATGCTTCCTGGATTATGCAGCTCCTGTCAATAATTGCTCCTGTGTATTTTATATACATAGACACACACACAGACTTACATATATATATATATATATGTTTGTAATTCTCACTGAATAAATGTACTTTTAGTTCCTGAACGTGTCCTGTATCTTGTTTTCACTGGTGAATGCCTGTTCCTCTGTCATTGTCCAGAGTTTTTGCTTGTGACACTGTACATCCATGCAGACACAGCAAAGGGCACTGGTTTGTACAGGGATGGATGAGTGGTGTGAGCACAAGCCTTGGAAGCTCAGGAGCCGTGTGGGCACCAGGGTTTGGCCAGCCAGGGAAAGGGAGATGCTCAGGGCAGCTCCAGCCTTTCCTGGCACTGAAATTCCCCCTTGCCCTCAAAAGCTACCTGACCACCTCAGGTGTGAAGGTGTGTGTATTTGCCTATGCAAGGTCTGAGCAAAGAAACAATGACAATCCAGGTTTCTGAAAAGCCTGAGCAAATTATTGGGTTTTTCCTAATGTAAGCCACCTAAGTGCTTGAAAATACAGATCAGATATAGAACAAAACGTGTTCCTAGGAGTTCAGAGTATTTCGTATACACATTGACCTACTAGCAAAATTCCCAAAGGCATCTTGGTGCCAACTACGTAACAGCACAGGTTTTTTTTCAGCCACAATAATACAGGAAGATAAAATACACATTCTAACACACAACAGATCCCCCAAATATACCACAAAAAGGTCTTCAATATATCTTCAACTCAACTAATCCCTCCCTGCCCTCCCCAACTGAAACAAAAAAATAAAATATATGGATCCCTTATGGTGCAATTAGAAAAAAAAATGCTCACTTACAGAGAATTTTCAGTTGAAATTAGATATAAAAGAGTAAACGTAGCTAGTACATATTCAGTTGGCCTTTGTTGATAGAAATCTGCAGATGTCTCTGTAGTTAGTAAAAGACATTTAGAGATAGCTATAAAAGCACCTACAGTGCGATAAATAAAAGCAGCGGGATTAAGAAGCACTGTTTCTGCTGCTTATTTCCAGTAGGTTCAATTATTAGTCTGTTACCCCTTTCCCCTCCCAAAATGTGTTTTTCTTTCTTTTTTTTTTTTCTTTTTTTCTTTCTTTTTTTCCTTTTTTAACCATTATAAACTGTTTCTTGACCACTGTGGAGCCTCAAAAGTAAAGCACTTCTCAGACAGCTGGCAGTTTTCTACTTGGTCGCTCTGGAGCTGTGGAGCAACAGAGCCTTATTCCCTGACATGAAAACAAAACCAAACCAAACAGGAGAAACCACTGACTTAGAAATCGTTCAGAATTAACAGCAGCATGTTGAGCCTAAAGGACGTTACTTCAGAAAGCTTGCACGGGGTTTCTCTGATGTGCAACGCAGTTGGGTTAAGGCAAGTATGAGCTGTACAGCCTTCAGGGCAAACAACGTGCTGGCCAGTGACTTCTGCTGCAAGGTCATCCTGCTGTTTTTAGTGTTGTCTTGACTAAGGAGACTCGCTGCGGCCAGGAATGTGGAGGGGGCTCCGAAAGCACCGAAGGGGCTGGGTTCATCATGTCTTAATCCAGATGGGCCGCTCTGGCGGTGTCCAGGGTAGGGAAGAGCCAGAAGATGGCACCAACGCCTCAGTCCTAGATCTCTGGTGCTGGGAGGCAGGAGGTCCAAGGAGGCGGTCCGGGGCATTTCCCTTAGTGCCTGCTAGAAAGAGGGCTGAAGATGTCCGTTGTTTTTTGTCTCACTGTTCAATCAGCTTTTATACTTTCTTTTTCGGCAGAAAAACTGGATTTTTTTTGCTCTTTGAAGTACCAGGAGGCCATCCTGAAATTTGACATCCTGTTTATCTGACAGGTCCTCCAGCCCACGTCGCGTAGTCCCCATGTTTACTTTGACCTAGAAGAAAGAAAAAGAATGATACTTATAATCTACCATATACCTATCTGATCACTGCCCTGCTGCTCTGGTGCCCTTTTGCAAGCAAGTGAAAGCCACCAACAAGTAACAGTTCAGCTACACCTGGGATGAAGAGGACAGAAAAAAAGTGTTTGCTCAGATGTTTGCTTGGCTCTCTCTGGAACATTGTTAGAGAATTCAGCACAGATTTCCTAAACCATTCTAGTGAGGAGTGATATTTACTTATAGTATTAACTGTATATCCATGGGTCAACTAGAAGATGACCTGACCTATAATAATCCATCAGAAATGTAACTATCTTTTTAAAAGCAAGAAATGATTCAATATGAAGACAGAAGGGCTGAGTCCTAGGTGCTTGGGAAAGCAACCCAGGGATCACTACAAAGTAGTGAGCAAAGTACAGTGCATGAGCAAGTGCTACAGCCCTGTACATCTGAACCATGTTGTCCCAAACCCATGTTTTGTAACTCCAGTTAGTTAACTTCCAGTATAAAACATGTAAGATGTTGTTGGTTGCTATACAAGGCTTAGCTGGTAGTTTGTTCAAATGAAATATTGCCCATAAGGTCTCTAAGGGCAACATTTTATGCAGATTTGTGCTGCATGAACCTACTAAGTGGTTATATATATATATATTTGTGTGTGTGCGCACGTCTTGCTTATGTTTAATTTACACTTCATTTATTCTTCAAGTGAAGAGTAAAGTAGGCATCTGTGTGTCCAGTTATCTAGATAAATACGTACAGTCTTAGGCTAGGAGACCATGAACAGCCTAATGCACATGTAAATGCAGCAGATGAAGATGGAACCAAGTACTACGGAAAATACATTAATACTTCCTATGCTCCCTCAGTTAGTGACACATAATGCCCCTAACATTTGGTGAAAGGGAGGATCCCATAAGCTAGAAACTATTGTACGTGTCCTCTAGTGAAAAGCAGTGCCCACAAACAGTCCTGTGTAGCAATATATACGTAAGTGGCTGTGTACATATACATATATATGTACATATATACATTCATATATATATATACACAGACACGCATATATACACACATATACAGAAAGGGGTCTGTGTGCGTGTTTCTATGCATATATATATGAATTGTGTATCTATATATCTATCTAATGTAAAGATTTTTAGACTTCACAGAATACAAAGGAAAGGGAGCTTCACTTTGGGGCTGAACAGCTTTTGGGCAATTTCTCCAGTGCATTAGGCATCAGCATCAGACATGCATGCTTTTTCTTTGTTACAGGTTGGGGGTTTTTTTGAGCAAACAAGTATATTGTGAAAAAAATAAAAATCTCTTTCCCCTTCTTCCTTCGTCTTGTTTCTAGAACAGTGACCATGCAGTGCAGACTTGTTCCACAACTATAACTGTGTTTTTTCATGTGCAGCAGAATCAATGTTATGGAGTGTTTAGTCACCTTCCTTGGTCACCTCCCAAGAGCAGAATTTTCTCTTGACAATTAATTTCCACCATCTTAATGTGTTCTTGTCCCATGGTCTGGAAATAATCACTGGCATCTCCTGCACAGAATGCCAGGAAGTTGCTTTTTAGGACATCAGCTGTGGCCAAGCTGCAAAGAGGTATATGAGCACCAGTTGTGTCCCATTCTGTTCAAAAAGCATACTCATTTTCAAGGGACTGTCTAGGCTTCTTAGCTTGTACAGCATAAAGCACACTGTTGTCACTTAAATAATAAAAAAGCCATTTATAACAGGTAGATAGATAAATGTCATTGTAAGAATTCTCCCCCAAAACATCAGTGTTTTATTTAAAATATTACTTTAAATTGATTATATTTTCTCTTTTAAAATAAGGTGATTAAATTAAATGTGAAGTTGAGAGATTATAAGGAGAATGTGGTTGGAATTCAAAACATAATATATAGAGAAAAGAAACACAATGAGCCTGAATTTAATAATTCTACACTACATAAGTAAACAGTAGCCAGAGATAGTCAACTCAATTCACTATCTATAGATAACACTTCATTTTCATAAATCAAGATTTTTTATTCCAAAAGTATCCTGTTCATTTATGGTAGTCTTGAACAACTGACAAAATTCCACACAAATGTGCTCTGTGTGTCTAAAATCAGTCCAAATGTTCTTATGTATGTTCTGCAAATGTAGAGCTTGACTGAAAACACAAATAAAAAGTAGTAAATCTGCAGTTTAAAAAGTCTTGAGACAACAAAAATGTAAACATGCAGAGCCTGAGTAAATCAGTATAATTATTTAATTGCATGTGTAAGTTTGTGTAGGTTCAGTATAACTTCCAAATTAATACAATTAAGTGCTAGGTTTAGCCCACAGGAGGAAGCTGGTTGCAAAACAGTGTGTCTTAACAGTTAGCAATTACTAAACCCAGCATTCCTTCAGGATAATAATTAAACTGAGCATATATAACACAGCTAAAAATTGATTTAAATCACTTGGATGTAAATCTGTCTGGCTTGATTTAAAATAAAAGATTGTGTTGATTGAGTTCTGTCATCTCAATCCACTGAATCATGTCAGCAAGGATTATCTGGATGATGACAGAGAGCTACCACAAAACTCTGTAAGTCTTTAAGATTTGTACTATTTTTTCTAGGAGAGTTGATTTGGTAAATAAACTGCGGGTTCTCTGTGGTTATTACTGAAATACACGTATTTTTTCAGAACTTGCATTACCACTAGAAACTGATATTGTTTTGGTAAGCTCTTCAAAGATGAGGCCATATGTTCTCCTCCACTTTTGTAAAATGCTTAGCACACTTATATATGTACTGCCACACAATAGACAACAAAAAGTGGTGCTATTGTGCCTTTGGAAATACTTAGTAACCAGATGATTTAAAGGCAATTACCTCTTATTTCTCTCATGAACCCAGGGCAACTAGCTATTTTTGTATTTTCTTGACCTTCTGCAGAAATTAAACAGGATTATTATTAATATATCCTCCACTGCCTATGGATTCAAAGACATTTTGTAGCAGATAACATTGTGGAAATGGTCAAATGAATACAGCTACATGGATATGTGTGGGTATAGTTGTATTCTGGATGGATACGATTATACCTTGGACAGTGGTGAGAGTATAGCAATGGACTCCATAAAGCAGAAGGTCTATTTTGTCCTGCTCTGCACTGTACTGTTCTGTTCTAATCTATGCTGTCCCATCTCATCTTGTGTCATCTTGTCCCATCCTCTCCTCTCCTCTCCTCTCCTCTCCTCTCCTCTCCGCCTTTCTATGTTAAATGATTATTGTCTTTTACTCATCACCTGAGATGCTAAACGTTGTGAAGCGCAGGTGACATTGACTAGAGAGTAACGGTTTTTTTTTCCCCCCCTGGAATACTATGGAGGCCAACATTTATGTTATTTGGTGAACAAGATCCCAAGGGAACCAAACCTTTCCTCTCAACAAATAAAGCTTTAAAGCACTGAGTATGGTCTGCTGTTATCTAAACTTATGTGGGGGGTGAAGACAGGCAGTTCTCCACGTTAGTGTATCTGTGTTTTGATTTTCAGTACTTAATATTGCTGTAAATAGTGTTACAAGGAGATCAAGCTCTGTCCTGATTAAGTTAAGATTCAGATTTGTCACTCTGTTACCTAATGGTCTGCCTACACTTACAGAATGACTGTGGTGTGAATACATATGTATGTGCTCCTGGTGCACTTCAGCTGTAAATAACAGAAAGGTATTACTAAATGCTATAAAAGCCTCTTAAGGACAGAGTGTAGCAATTCTAAAGAACCTTGTCAGATACTAAATAGTCAGAGGGAAACACAAAGCGTGGCTGAGAGTATGGAAATACTTTAGTGGGCTGATTGGACAAAATGTCAGCTGACACACTGATTTCTGTCTCTCAGTCAAGACAGCAAAATCCCCTACACTCCAGTGAGAACGCAGCATTTAAATAAGGCAGAACACAGTTTACATGGATTAACCATATATCTCTCTGTCTCAGCTACAAGCTTTAAAATATTGCCTCCTTTTCCACAGGTCTAGCTTTCCTTCCAGTCAGTATGAAGATGATCAGTAAATGCAATCTGCTGTTCTAGAAGAAACACTGAGAACATAAAGAGAATGGGATAATATCTCAGCTAGAGGGCTCCATATGTTGATGACAAGGTATGGTGTACTGAGAAGGAAATAGGATTAGAATTGTTCTAAGTACCTATGAGCCACACATAATAGTAGGAAGGAAATCACATTTTCTAAATGCATAGCACTATGCCAAAAGTGCAGGTGAAAAATCTTTACTTGAGCACAGACAGATGGGAAGCTGAAGTTAAGATGGCATTGGAGATATGCACTATTGTAATTTAAGATTACTGAAAAGCTCCTAGCAAAGCTCCCAAAGGGCCCAATCCTAAGCACTACTGCAGAATTGATTGCACCACTAATAAAGGAGTAAATGCCAATTCCTGCAAAAATCCACTAATCCATTAGAAGACTTACTTCTACTAATCAGAAGACATAAAATTACATTCAAGGGAGAATAGAAGTTTATGTTGGGATGGGTATTGTTTGCATGTGTTCAGTTCTTTCCCTCAAAAGAAATGCTTAGAAGAGAAACAAAGGAAAAAAGTAAATGTTGCCCCTTTGTGAGGTGTTCTCCGTTGTGGTTTTACCATATAGGCCAATGATGGGAAATAGAAAACATATCTGAAGGCTGTAGCAGTGAGGTAAGATTTATCTGGGCAGTCAGGACTGCTCAGAATTGCAGTTGGCATCTGTACAAGAAATATTTGGAGATGGTAATTCCTGAACTAGTCCATGGTTGGGTGTTAGGTCTATTTGTGAATGTACTCCAGTTGTGTGTATATGGTGAGGTTCAATTACCTATTTAATCCCAAAATATATTGGGCTGCACTTCTAGGCAGTGGATGGAGTTGTCACTCCCACAGATTAGGTAGAATGCCATCATCTATTCCAACCAGTTTTCAAAGCTATATGTTGTTATACTTTGGGTTGTTTGTTTTATTTTGTTTTGTTTAGTTTTTTCTTAATATGGAGACTGAAAATGAAGTGCAGAAGTGCCTCAGTGAACAGATGTGCTGGTAAGACAAATACTAAATACATCTACTAAATGAGCAAGTTGCTGATCTTTTGATAAAATGCAATAAAAACCACATTTTTGCAGCCAAGTTTTGTCAGATTTGACTATTTTGTTATTAAACTGTATTATCATTGCCTTTGAGTGGAAATTGCTTGAATGAAAATGGGGGAAAATCAGGTGAGAGTTGGGTGTTATTTAAACAACTGTGACACGTATCCTGCATAAGAAATCATTATAATTCAACAGAAGAGTAATGTTGGTGCTTAAGTGGAGCATGAATTCAGACTCTTAAAAAAGACTTCTGCCTATTTTGAATTTTTAAGTCACGTCATCTTTCAGCTTAATGATCCTTTAATATCAGCCTGCCACTCTGCAGAATATCTCAGAAGTTAAGTACTTACATATACATGGGCTGTAGTTGCAAATGAGATGTCTTCTGTGGACCTTGATAGCCATAAGAGTCAAATCCACCTATGAAATCAACTGAAAGAGGAAAATTGCTTTCATTAGCAACAGCTTTTCAGTAGTGATAGGCATTATCATTCAAGAATCACCCAGCACACAAATTATTTTTGATGGACCACCTAATAATCTGTTAAAACTAGACTAGCTAATTGTGGAGATGCAGAAAAAGGGTAAAAAAAAAAAAGAAAAAAGAAAAAAAGAAGAGAACAGATAAGTCCCTTTTAAAATTTGAAAATCAAATTAATTTTAAAATTGCAGAAAGAAAATGAAGGATTTATAACTGCCACCTTTCTATGAGAAATAGCCACACATCCCTCTTTCTAAAATAGACCACATCACTGAAGTACAAAGCAACATGCTATTCAGATAGTACAAGTGTTGAAAACCATTTATTGGCATGAATGCATTGCTTCTGACTGTGATTACTGTGTCTGGCTTGCTGTCATACTGTGGTTCAGTGATGCAGAGGAGAGAGCACATTGATCCAACTCTGTCTGAGAGACAGAAGTTTCTCTGATTCCTTTCTTTGACATTTGGGTTGAAATGCAGGAACACAGCGTTGGAACAATTTATCTGAGCTTCAGAGATGATGCTTCACATACCTAAGGAAACCAGTTTTTCTCTCAAGGCGCTGGAGGTCTGCAGGAATGTTGTAGGGTGAGAGCTATTTATTAACTCACATCAGACAGATCACTATGGGCTTCTCATGTTTATTTTAAACAATTTCCAGGATAATTCAGTCTCACCTGAGCCTCAGACTCCTGTTTCTGTGCTATAACACTTTCTTTACACAGCTAAAAGGGCACCCTTTGCTTCCTTTGCTCCAAGAGACCAAAGTGTTGGCATTTGAGGGTTATTTGTGGGCAGCTCTCATCCCTGAAATATTGTCTCTTACATAGCAGATGTGAATTTGACTTCATTTTGATAGAAAAGGGCCAAAGAGTTCACTTACAGAAGTGCATTTTTAAAAGGTCTGGGCACTGCTATCGACAGACAGGCTCTATGTACATTAAAATAAAAAAAAAAAAAAGAAAAAGAAAAAGAAAAAAGTGAAGGTTCTTTGATAGAGGATAGTTTCTTGTGGATCTAAAATCCAGTAACATTCACATAAAAATCACAAAACATAAATTAATAATCCTTGGTTTGAGACCATTCAAATTGGTAGGAGCCCGTGAAACTTGCATTTGTGAGGTTATTTTATACTAAGGTACCCTTCAGTGTGTGCCAAACTTATCAACGCAATCATGCTCATTCCAGACATGTCATAAAATCAAATTCTTGTACCCCTTCTACCTTGCAAGTACCACCATTTACTTTGCAAGTAAGAAGCTAGGAAAATACTAGGTTGTCTACTAGGTAGAGTGTCTCCATTGTAACACAGTCATGTTGAACCTGCCAGCCACCTTCTTTCCTGGCAAGAATAGCCCTTGCAGTAATAATTTAGCTGATTCTCTGCTCTGTCGCAGAATTACATATGTTCCTGTCCCAGAATGATGCTTTACTAAATTAATCCTGGACATCTCTAATGAAGAAGGTTCTACAGACTCTCTTGTGTTGCCTTTGTCTCCATCTAACTTACTAATGTCTAATTTAAATGTAATTTCCTGAAAATTAACTACTTTTCTACATTTTGGCCTTTTCTCCCTACGGATATGAAGACAAATGAACAATTTTTTTTTTTTCTTTCATAACTACTTTTAAGCATTTGCAAAAAGTATTTTCATGCTATCCATCTTTTCCAGATTTAAGTGTAGGTTATTTTGTTGGTTTTCTTACAGTGTTGTGCACAAATCAGGACTAACTAGAACAACTACCATGTAGACCTGTAGGTTACTTGGAGTAACACCATGGTTTTTTTTTTCTTCTGCTTTTTTTCAATAGCATCATAAAAACACTTAATAACCAGATCTTTATTTTTATGTTTTGACACTAAATGTAGTCTAGACAAGTAGTCCATATTTCGTCTGGAGACACTTGATTGATTCTTCCCCACAGGAGTTCTTTTGCAAATGTCTGTTTTAAATCTGATCTTCTTGGTTTCAAACCACTTCTCAATATCATTTTGACTTCTAACCCTGTATTCACAAGTGCTGATATCCCTCCCAATCTGCTTTCATCTGAAATTTTTACAAATGTTCTCTTGTCTATCATGTCCTCTAGCTGTTAACAAAAATAATGAGGAGAATTATTTCCCTAACTGTCATCCCAGTGGGATCCCATCTGATATGTCATTCTAGCTGATTGATAACTGAATGTCAAATATAGTTTTAAAAAATTTTGCACACAATCTATGATGACTGCATCTGGACAGTGTTTCCCTGGCCTGTTTACAAATCTTTCATAGGGTCAAAAATCTCACTAAAATCAAGAAAAATGCCATTTGTTGCTTCCTGCTTATTCACTGTCTATAACCACCTGAATAATTTTAGTAAAATGTGATTGTGTCTTTGGAAGCATACTGTTTATAGTCTCAGAATGAAAAATTCACTATAGGAATATTGTTGAGTGAAGTGCTAAGCTGGAAGGAAATAAAAATCTTATTCAAATACAAAGATTGCAGCAAAAAGAATGGACATAGCTATGGTTTGTTGTTCTTTTGCACAGTTTTCTGGTTTTGTTTTTTTTGGTTGTTTGTGGTTTTTTTCGTTCTCGACCTCTGACAACACAAGTCAGGACATATCTGTGTGGGACTGAGTGAATGTCTCACTAGTGTCAACCTATGTCACTTTATGGATGTTGCTCATATGCATTGGTCTGGCTTTGCATTTCTTCTGTACTTCCCAAGACCCCTCAACCAATCTGTAAGCTATTATAAGAAGGCTGCAGGCATATATACTCTTGTTTTGTAGTCGTGGGGCAAAAGGTCTTAAAAGTGATTTTTAGGGTTGCTCTTAGGAAGCTAAACCAACATCCTGAGGAAAATATTTGAGTTAAATGAGTTTGTGTGGGCATGAGAGAGATACATGCTGAGTATCTCTGCAAATTTGTATTTGCCCTGTTGCACAGAAAAAACATACAGTGTTAACAAGCCAAAGTGTCAAGTGACAAACAAGGCAAGCTTGCAGAGACATTTCTGTGTTCAAGTTCCCAAATGATGATAGGGCAGAGAGTAGTACTGTAGCCTTGTTGTAGGCAAACAATGGCTTGTTACACACATCAACAAACTTTGCAAGACAGGTAAAAGTATGTAATAGAAAGTGAACTCCAATACAAAAGGAATTCAGTGATTTCTTTACAGCAAGTTTTCTTGTTGGTGGCAGTTTCTCAGCACTGAAAAGCCTGCTATGTTCAGACTGTGCTAAAAGCTCCCCGTGGACTCTGAGCTAGTTTCTTAAAGCATGCAAAAGGCTGCCCTTTCTGCAGGCATTTTATCCTGGCAGTGCCTGAAAGGTCACTAAAAGTGTTGTGCAACTGATACATTCCTGGCAGCAGTTACATGAGATGAATGAAACAAGGCTCATTAGCCTAGAAAGGCTTCCATCCTTGACCTCATCCATCAAACACATTTTTGACCATTCTATTTTACATTCATCTTGCATGTCATTTTTTATCCGAACTGGCTCTTTTGTCACGTCTTGCTTTAGTAAAAACACACATGCATATGCAAACACAGAATCCTGTTCCTTTGAAATACTGGGTGCTGAGATGATTATTTTCCTGGCTGGATTTGAATAGGATAATAACAGTAGTATTTATTTGTCAAATGTGTTACAAGAAATTCAGCCAGAGTGTTTTCTTTCTTTGTGGGTGTTAAGGGGCTTGTCAAGCATATGACTGTGGTTACAATTGTAACACAAACAGGACATACAGCTCAAAATAGGGACATATTTTCTATTACTAAGTACTCAGAGGAATGTGAAATTTCATCCTTTGCTCACAGTCCCCACTGTCTCTATTATATATCAGAACAGGATAAGATGTATAAATGGTTCATAATTTTCATTTCTGGATGCTTGTGCTGTATAGGGGGACCATTAAACTGGGATGCACAAAAAAGATTCCATTAGCATGGATGTATATATGGGAGAAGAGATTCTAGAAAACTAGCAGTGAGAAACCATGAAAATTATCAAATAAACAGATGGACACAGAGAAAGGAAAGAGT